GTATCCCTCTGCTTGGCACCCCGTCTCTCCCTTCTCCCTCCCACCACCACCACCAGCGTCGTGGCTGCGTTCGAAAGGTTGCCGCGGCCACCCCTTCCCTGAACGGCGAGGGTGCGGTTCTTCGGACACAGCTCCCGCGCCGCACAGTTATGGCAGCAGCGGGCCAAAAGTTCCCAGCACTCCCACGCTCGACGGCCACCAAACAGCGCGCCGATGACACCCCCTCCCCCCTCTCCCGACGTCACCTTTCCGTCGGTTATGACCTCCTCGCCGGTACGGTCCTAGCACGAGATAACACACAGACTTGGTCACTTCTTGAACGCGGCGGGCGGGGGAAGCGGTCACCGCCCTTCTGGCGCGGAGTGTACTAGGCGGCCCGCGGGCCGGGTCCGGGCAGCGGCAGGGGTAGGGGCCGCGACCGTGGGAAAGGCTCGACGCTTTGGTCGTCAGGGGCGGAGCGTCGAAGGGGTGGCAACGGGGCTGGCATCGTGCGAGAGAGACGGCACGTTTCTCTCTCTTGCTTGTGAGCAGAATTTGTGCCAGCGATGGAGAAAGAGAGGGAGAGACGGCTCGACTTGTGCTGTGTCTCCTTCGCTCTCTTTCTCTCTCTCTCTTGTCCGTAGGGGTAAGGGGGAGAGGAGGGTCGGGGTGCACGGCGCGGCGCTCGCAGGTACACGAGGACGACGCTACGGGCGTGCGCCGCGTGCTCGCCGGCTGCGCCTCGCAGAGATGCGTGCGCCCGGGCACGCGCCCCGCACCGCGACCCGGACGTCAGGCCGGCGCCCCGCCACGCCCCGCCACGCCCCGCCACGCACCAGGACGGACGTGACCCGGGGCACTACTAACAGGTGGCAGGGGCGAGACGACGGCGCCGTCCTCAAGGGCGCACCCCGCGCCACACGCTCCACAAGGTCGTCGGCAAGGCCGCTGGATGCAGGGGAATGCCCGCCACCGTTTGCTCAATGCGACCATACCCACGTCCCTCGATTGAGCGACGATAGCGACCCAAGGATCCCGTTAAAATAGGGCTCTACTTGAGAGTGAAATATTTTCCAGTATGCTCGCTAGCTCAGACGGATTTTAGAGGCCCTTCGGCCAGTGCCATAATGCGAAAAATGTGCCATTTTCGGCTGATCGCCGAGGCCGATCACGTGACCCATCAGGCGACCTCATCAGGCCCCGGCACGATGAGGTGATGCGAGGAGCTCTTACTAGAGGGCGGCAAAAAAAAACGAAGGTTCAAAAAGTTAGGGGGGGTGCTCGGATCAAAGTGCCACTTGCAAAACTAAAATTTTTGACACCCCTCTTGACTTGATTGGACATCGAGAAAAGGTCGCACCACACGTTCAAAGTTTAACACAGAACTCTTATGGGAAAATGCCCCAAAAAGTGATTTTTTTCCAAAATAGGCTTCGTATTGCAAAAATTTTGAACTATGTTTCCAAAAATGGAATCTACGCGTCAAAACACAACCAGTGATGTACCACACTTGGTATTCCACTCAAAGTCCAACTACTGTAAGGTGCCAACCTATTAGCTTTTTTAGCTCTTTTTAATTTTGGAAAATTTCGCTTAGTTACAGCCGCATTTGGCCACGGACCTGTGAGTTAAACATCAAGTGTGGCACATCACTGAGTGTGTTTTAACGTGTAGATTCCATTTTTGGAAAACAGAATTCGAAATTTTTGCAACAGTCAGCCGATTTTGGCAAAAATCACCTTTTTGGGGCATTTTCCCATAAGAGTTCTGTGTTAAACTTTGGCCGCGTGGTGCGACCTTTTCCCGATGTCCAATCAAGTCAAGAGAGGTGTCAAAAATTTTAGTTTTGCAAGTGGCACTTTGATCCGAGCACCCCCTCCCCCCTAACTTTTTAAACCTTCGTTTTTTGTTTTTTTTTTTGCCGCCCTCTAAGCTCTTACACCTCATCTCTCACCTGCCGCCTGGGTCACGAAAGCGGTCTCGGCGAACGGCCAACAATATGACACATTTTTCGCACCCCGGCCAGTGCCACACTCCCCGCGTTGCTTTCACTTCCTGGTCACGATCGGTCACGATCACAAATCACCTGCTGTTTTCCGGTTCGGCGTACGGGCGCGCACGTCCGAACAGCTGGTAGCTGGGGCTAGAGAAGTATTGAAATCCCTCATGCCAGCCCAAGAATCTTGGGTGCATATCTCACAATCTCACATCCCTCCCTCACCACCACCGCTACCACCACCAACACCCTACCAAATTGCGTGTCCCCGATTCCCTCGTGACCGATTCCCGCACCCTCGCTAGTCCGACTTGTGGCCTGCCGAAAATTAATTTCATGTGTGAGTGATTGAAGTGGCCCACGCTACACAACGCTGGCGTTATTTCTCAACTACTGGTTTTAGTCGCTCTCGAGCACGGCGCGATCGTTCTCAGTTAAAGTGGTTGTGGGGAGGTTCTCGTTCCCAGAGCCAGATGAACCCGCAACCGCTCGCAACGCACAATTCTAGACGTCCCAACTGACGTAAGGAATGAGCGGATCCTCAGGCTACATACCGGGTGGCTGACTCACACCGCGCACTTTCGTATTTATACTGTACCGCATGCACGGGCGCGGGCGGGCTTGCCTATCTTCGCTGCCTAAGGCTGCTTGTGGCCCCGTGCGAGTAGGCAACCCCCGCGCGCGCGTGCATGCGGTACAGTATAACTACGAAAGTTGGCGTCGTGAGTCAGCCACCTGGCAGGTCCGGCAGGCAAGCGGCCAAAATTGTGCTGTGTACCTACATTGCAGCTTGGTCAACCCATCAGCCGTCTTGTTCAGAAGCTCCCCGATCTACAACTGCCACTGCGATACTTAAACTACCGAGATGCTACTCAAGAGCGTCAAATAAGACATTCTCTCTACAGGATAACGCGGAAGTCGCTTTGGGTAGGGTCCATCTCCTCTCACCACCGTGTGCAATCGCCCCCCCCCCCCTCCAATCCCCTCGCTCGCAAGTTGTCGGGGGAAGCCCTCTCCCCCTCCCCCAATCTGAGAGTAGGTTGTATTCGCGGTTCCCACGCGACTGCGATCCGCGGGGGTGGGGCCGGGAAAGACGAGCGTGATGGGGGAGGAAAGGGAGGGGGAGGCGGGTAAGTGGCGCGGAAGGGGTTGCGTTTTTACAACGCGGCGCCAGTACTGGGTGAGGGAGGCGGGGTGGGAGAGGGTGCATGGTGGAGCACGGTGCGATAAAATACGACCGACTAGCAGGTTGTTTCTTCCTCACTCTCTACAAAAATACAGTAGAAGGACAATGACATGAGTTTCGGGGACAGCCCTTGCAATAGTTTTTTTTTAATTCGATGTTGGGCCCAGAAAAGCTCAAACATTTTTCGTAGAGTGGGGACTAGAAGCTCCCTGTGTTTCTCTCATATGATACATGATAGTAGATCCTACTATCATGCTTACATCGTACCACATTACCGCTATCGAGCGGCACCCGAAGCACTGTATCAATTGGTCAGTTGATTTACCAGGTAAAAAATTCTGTTGGAGAAAGTTTGGTTTGATCGTGCCCAAATTCGTGCACTCTCATTTTCAGATAAGAAGCATGAAAGCCGACAATGGATCAGGGAAAGTGCATCATTAATTGACTAATTAACTTAGAATCAACATTTATGATAACATTCACAACAAGTAATAAAATAACAAACTCAGACTCTTCAATAAAAATTTGAGCAAATTTTACATTTGATACAGTAGAATTAATCAATATAATTACACTAACAATTTATGCTAACAATAGTTTTTTGTTCACGTTCTTAAAAAGTAAAGTGGCAATATTTTGTACTTTGGAGGTATAAGGAGGTATAAATCCAGTCTTTGTTGTTTGAAAAGAAATATTTTTGGGAATACAATTAATGTGACAGTCTAAAGTGCAGGGTATCACTTTTAAGTAGTGGAACGGTGAGATTGTTTGATACTTAAAATTGTTTTATGACTTGTAAGAAGATAGAGGGTAATGGTCCTTGTACTTTGCAACATGATCTTCCATTTCTTTCATCTGGGATCTGAAAAATGAAAATGTTCTATTTTACCAAGAAACAAATATCCAATATACAAATTAATTTGTAAGTAGCTACCTTAGGTGAGATGGCATATCTTGGTAGACATCATGAAACATTTCTTTCCAGTTGGGCTTGGGACGTTTCTCAGCTTCTGCGAAGGCCTTCAGAACCTATAATTTAAAAAATGAGGATCAGATAGGAAATTATTACAGATTTTTGAATGCCTTCTACTTATGACAAGCTAACAAATCATTAACTTTGTGGTAATATTGGAATTCTGAAACAAACAGTACCTGTTTACGTGTACTTTCTTTCCATTCATTTTCCTGCGATTCATTCCACCATCCTTTCTGTTCCATGTATTTGCGAAGGCGAGCAATGGGCTGATCAGTTGAGTCCCACAAGTTAACTTCCTCCATAGAGCGATATGCAGAGCTATCATCAGATGTGCTGTGATGACCCACCCTGAAACAAATACCATATACAATAATTTGGCTTTTGAAAACTTTACGTTAAGATAGATAACTAAACTCTGTGGCTATTTTACGTTACCTGTAGGTCATAGCTTCAATGATAACTGGTTTGTTTTCTTGAATAGCTAAATTGCAAGCAGCTTTAGTGGCATTGTAGACAGCAAACACATCATTGCCATCTACACGAACAGCAGTTATGCCAAATGCAGGGCCACGTCCTGCTACAGCATCTCCTCTATACTGCTCGTGAGTTGGAGTGGAAATTGCAAATCCATTGTTCCGGCTGAAAATACATAAACGAATAAAACAATGTCAATTAAACTAAAGGTGTATTAGATTTGTACAGAAAGAGACTAATCAAATTTCATACCAGAAGAAAACTACTGGACACTCCAGAGTTGCAGCAAAGTTAAAAGCTACATGGGCATCACCTTCACTGGCAGCCCCATCACCAAAGTACACAATAACACAATTACCACTTCCAGATCGTTTCATTGCATAGGCTGATCCAACAGCTAAGAAGATCACATACTTGATTAGATTGAAAATTGGAAAATAATGACAAACATTTTTTAATTTAAGTACTGTTCTGCTCACCTTGAGGCATTTGAGTAGAGAGAGGAGATGAAATTGTGACAAAATTAAGTTTCTTAGAACCATAGTGGACCGGCATCTGCCTTCCTTTCCCCTCATCTTCACAATTACCATAACATTGATTCATAAACTCTTCTAAGGTAAATCCTCGCCATAGGAGGACACCTGAGAGTCAAGAATAGTATAATATTTAATAAGTACTACCATAGATAAATCAGATATATTAACTGCACTAATGCACAAGAAAGGGAGAAAATATGAAAAAAATCCTACAAACCTGCTTCTCGATACTGTCCATAGACTAGGTCATCTGGTTTCAATGCAGCAGCACTTCCAATATGAGTCCCTTCTTCACCATAGTTGGTCATGTAGAATGATATGCGGCCTTGTCTTTGAGACTCATACAAAATACGATCCATTGTGTTTAACATAGTCATATCTTTATACATCTTTTGGACAAATCCTTGATCAAGCTGCAATCGGTAAATAGAAACATTTATAATAATTGTTTGGGAAGACACACATCAACAACAACAGACATAATAACAGTGAATGCACACACATCTTACCTTCGGTTCTTCCTCTGCATTCAAAACTTGGCCGTCACGATCCATGACCCTGTATACAGCAAAAGGTTCTCTTGACTCTGGGTGTACTAACTCCAAAGAGTTAGTATAATTTGCCCTCGCGCCTGGGAATTTGGCACTTTCCTCATCATATCGTCCAATGGCAGCTGGTTGACCATATTGCCGAGCCTAAAGAGTAAAAAGCACAAACAAATCTATGAAAATTAAAAAATCAGAAACAATTTACTGCTACATTTCCACCACAAAATTCTGGTTTCGTGATACAACACAAAAACCTATGAATGAACAACCATTTTACCATTTCAAAAAATTGTCTTAGCGAGAAAGTTGCAGGCGGCAAAACGCCTAAAATTGGTTTAAAAGTGCAATTTAAAAATGTTAATGAACGATTGACCATGTCACCTGTAGTCTGATTTCTGTTCGCATAACCTGGCGACATGGGAGGACTTACAAATTTCTTGGGTAGACAACACGCTCCAGCATAATTTATCCTCCTTGAAAATGCAGAAGATATGTGGCGCAATGACATTGTGAGACAGGAGAGATGTTCACGCTAGTGGACACCTGCGAACCTTGATCCGGTAGCACTTCTTCTTGGACTACTCCAAAAAATATGCAAAAACAATCGTGACCGTGACAGTGACGTAAAGACTCATTCCGTAATCAGTTTGAGCTTTACGCAAACAGACTAACGGCGGGGCTCGATACGTTACAAACAAAACTCCAGTTCAAAATATTTCCATTAAACTCCTTAGTTTGGGAGAGGAGGGGTTATAAAAGTTTGACGCAGGGAAAATCAAAATTACTTCAACGATGGACCACCACTCTGCTTCGGTTCAGACGACATTTTGAAAGTTCCCGCCGAGCCGTACGAAAGCCACGCGCCTGCCCGCTCTTTTGTTCGTCCGCGCAAACAAGGCGCAAAGGATCTTGGGGGCTTTTGGACGCCATCTGAGTTCCTCAAAAGGACAAAATTTTGTGACATTATCAGAAATTATGGCGGAATTTTCACCTTTCTTTAAGGATCTAGCAGGTTTATAGACTTAGAAGTGTGCTCAAGCCGACCAAATAATTTTGGTGTATGTTGCGAAATTAGTGCGGAGCGTTCCTGTGCTGTACTTTCCACGATAAAGTTCCAAAATCATCTCCAGAGTTTCTGTACCGGACACAGTAGGAAAGGACCAGGTACTGTATGTGTATCTTCTTCTATATCAAACACGGTTACAATGATGAACTGGGCGTCCCGTATATATTTCTAAACGTATGTTTAATTTCTCTATGATACTAATCTGGTCAGGACCATGACCAGAGGATCTGTAAGGAGATATGTTTTGGTCTGGATATTATAGCGTTTGTTTGGCCACAGAGCCGAAGCCAGCCCGTATAGAACTATTGCCTGTAGGATGCCAGGCGGCAGATTGATATTTTCGCGTACCTCATGCATTTTTGCTCGGCTCGAGGATTGTATTTGAAATTTAACTTAAAACGGTGCCTCATTTGGTATTTTAGTTCTACTTTTTGAAGGAAAGAAGTTATTGTTGTGTTCGCTAACCTACAGGCCCCTCAGATTGGTTATGTTGTATCGACGCTCTCTTACGGCAAGTAATTATGTGCCGAATGTAACAGTGTATCCGTCATCTACGACGCTCTAGATTTTCTGCGATGCATTTTGAAAGCCGTGCATTTACGTATTCAAATATCCTTACATATTCGTATTTGTTTGTTTTGGTCCTACTATTTTGATGCCATTAACCTTGCCCAGCATTGTAAACCACTTCTGTTTTTGATCCATTAGTGATAATTAGTTATCTTAACTTTTTCATTAACACTAAAATAATGCAATTAAGTTTGTGCCGGTGTATATTGTACCCCTTCAGGTGTTTTAGTCTTGCTCTCAGTCTTCTGCAATCTAATTTCTTGTTGCTAATTTTTGGAATTGATACACAATAATGTCAAGTTATTATAATTTAAATGTTGTTGTTTTTCTTAACTTACATTTGTACATTTTTCTGTAAAACTCAAACGTTCTGTTCTGTTTTGATTTTTTTTACAGTAAACCATGAGTGCCCCTGCTGTGAAACCTGTGTTATCTGCACCTGCTGCTGGTGGCCAAGCACCTACACCCACTGCCACAAGTCCCCTTAAAAATCACTCTGGTTCTCCTAATTTGTCAATAACCTTAGTCAATGACAAAACACCAGAGAAACCCAAAGATGCAGGCAAGAGACACTACTTTTCATGGTTTGCTTTGTATTTTGCTTACTGCCCCTCTTTATTCATTATCTTTTCCTTTTGTCATCAGTATCTTCTAATGCCAGCCCAAAATCAACTCCAAATGGTGTAGAGGCTGCTAAATCAGGATCGCCTTTGGTGAATGATAAGAAATCTGATGATTCGAATCATATCACGTCAACCACTGCCACTACCCTGCCGGTTAACAATGTGACTCAGATTACAGCCTCACCACTCAAAGGTAAAATGTGGACATAATGCCCTGCTTTCATTATTTCTTATCGTACTAAGTAATGAACTGTACTGAGGTACTTACGATTTGTGTGTTTCTGTTGTTTTAATCTATGTTATGTTTTGTTACTCAGCTACACCTGAAAAGACTCAACCAGCCAATAACACACCTCCAGCATCAGCAAATAACACTACCCCCAAAAGTCCTGCTCCTACTACAACGCCAGGTCCAACAGCTACAGCTGGATCAGCACCACCACCAGCTGTAGGGAGTATCACACCAGTGGCCTCTGACAAACAGGCAACTCCCACCAAAGCAAACTCAACTCCAAGTGATGACAAAGAAAAGCCGACTACAGCATCTCCAACAACCCCCAAGCGAGGTGCGGAGAAAACAGACAAACAAGAGAAAGATAAAGAAAAGGCTGGAACTGCTTCACGTATAAAACGCAAGAGAGAGACTGCTCCTGTAAGTTACCTCCTCATTATCAACCTGTTTTCTTTTAACAAGCAGTGAGTTACTTCTATTTAAATTTTTGATTTAGCCATCAACGCCTTCATCAGAGGATGCTGACTCTAAAGGCTCAAAACGAACTCGAGTTCCAGTTCAACCATATCAGAGTCCTATGCCCGATTTATTTCCTACAAAGGTTAAAACTCCTGCCAAGCCTCCTGTTGTAAAAGAGAAAGAGAAAGATACTGATAAGGAGAAGTTGGTTATCTTTTACAAGTATGTAGTTTTTCTTTGCTTCTTGTTTTTATCCTGAATAGGTTGTAAGCCTAAGTGAGACTGAACTCTGTATGTTTTTCTTTTACAGAAATGAGTTTTTAGCTGTGCGGAATTCTGAGGGAAGCTTCTATGTGTGTCAAGCAATGCAGAATGTTTACAAATCCAGCCACAAAATTAAAATTCGATGGCTTTCTCAGGTGGAGGGTGAGAAGTCTGATGATGGAACTGTTTATTCTCCTGATTTCTATGATTCAACAGGTATATTTTTTGATGTTACTTAGTTTTAGTTAAAGCAGTTTTAATGTTTACTTAAATATTTGTTTGTTAATCTAATATTTCTTTTCCCAGATTTTGATTGTATTCTGACTAGCTTGAGTCTGAAACGTGTTGACAAAAGTAAATTCAATTTGTCTACTGATGAAACTTTGAGAACAGAAAATATCTTGAAAAGAGCATTAGATGTAGAAAAGGGTGTTTCTGAAAAACCTGAACTAACTGAAGAACACCCTGATGGATGTAAGTCTTAAAATGCATCTTTCATACTAATTTGTATGTAACTACTGTAAGATTAACAATGTTTAATTTTTCTTTTTCTTTTAGTGGACCTGTCTCTTTTTAAAGATGAAGCCCAGCTAAAGAAGAGAAAAAGTCAAGGTAAGAGAGCTTCAGGCAGCCCAAAGAGGGCCCGCAGGTCACAAACACCTGTCAAGAAAGAGGAAAAGCCTAAGGTTGAAAAGAAAAAGCCGGTGGCAAGTCCCAAAAGATTTCAACCAAGAATGACACCAGGCAAGGGTGCTCCACCTAGATTTGGTGGGAGGAAGGCCAGATCGGTCTCAGTCGGAAAAACACCCAGGAAGGATAAGGAAGATAAACCAGAGAAAATAGAAAAGCAGACTGCGCAAACAAGAGCAGAGCGCGCCTCAGAGCGGGAGAAGGCCAAGGAATCTACTCCAGCTTCAAAGACACCTGCCAAGAGGAAAGCAGAGAGCCCGGTGCCTGTTGTTGAGACCAAAGCACCCAAGACGACTGCACGCACAGCGGCCTCCGCCAAGAAAGCTGCTGCTGAAGCTAAGGCCGCCGCACAGGCAGCCATCGCTGCTCAAGCTGCCACAGCCTCGGCCCCCCCTGCTGGACGTAAGCCCCCAGCAAGAGGAAGAAGGGGATTAGGCAATGCCGAATCTGCTGAGCCTGAAGTAGCTGCCCCTCAGAACCGTGCAACCAAGAGGAGTGAGTATCTGTGTTCCTATTGACATCTTCTGTCTGTGTACTTCCTCTGTAGTGCCTTTTGTGACAGTCTTTCCCTCTGAACTCTGTCAATTTTTCTGTTTCTGATGCATTATTATTTCTTTTTCATCAATTTAGATGTTCGGTCCTCATCACCAGCTGATACAGAAAAGAAAGAAAGCAATGAAGCAACCAAGGAGGAGGTAGAGGCTAAGTCAGCTGAGGCTGCTGATGCTCCTGCGTCAACAACATCAGCAACAAATGAGACTACACCAGCAACCACCTCACCTGTTGTGCCAGCCGTTGCCCCACCGGCAACACCTGCAGCCGCACCTGCTGACAGTGCTGCTGCTCCATCTGAGCAGAAGGTTCAGGCACCTGCTGAAACAGCTACCTCCGCCGCATCCACTGAGAGCACAACTGCTTCAGAAGCAAAATCACCTTCATCAGACGCAAGTCCCAACCGAGGGGCTCCTAAAAAGTCCACAACCCCATCGCCCCCTAAAAAGGCCTAGAGACAATTTCATGGACTGAAGAACATTATATTTTATCTAAGCATCAATCTTGATAGTTTTACCTTGGAAGTGATTTGAATGGTGTGATGGAGAGTTAAATAGATGCTAACTCCCTTACTACAATTTAATGCTTTGGTTGTTCAATTTTTATTATTAT